AGCTTCTAGCAGCTTCTCAGAGGAGGCACCCCTGTAGCCCTGCCACACAGACCCAACACACCTGCTTCTGTTAATGTTGAAGTCATTAAATTAATGAGTGCATTTCAGGACCTGACACTGCTTGCAGGAGAGCAGTATTATTATTGTAATATGAAAGTTTATGAGTTGGGTGCCAGTGCTGCCTTCAGTTGTGTTTTGCTAGGAAGTTGGCCTAACTGGCTACTTGAGGATACTCCTTGTGTGCACCAGGGTGGAGATAGTGTAGATGTAAATTGCTGTGAAAAACTTAGATCTTTGCTAACACGCTTGCCAGGGAAATGTTGCAACCTAACTGCAGTAAGTGATGTTGGAGTGATGTTTTAGTTAAGAGAAGGTTGGAGAAGTCTGAAGGTAGCAAGAAACATTCACACCATCTAATATATGAAGAAATCTGCAGCATGGTTTACTGCTTTATTGCAAGGATTATTCTTTGGGATCTTTAATTACGTTAATATTTTGGCAAAACTAATCTAAATAATGGCCTGTAAACCTTCTAAAATATTTTCAATTTTGTTTTCCTTACTGATACATTAGGTTTGCGTAAGGCCAATAGTTTTACAACTGACACTTAGTTTTCATTTCTCTGCCTGTAAATCTTAATTTCCTTTACTCTTATTCCCTCTCTGACTCCGTTTCCCTGTAGCTGATGTCCTTAGTGCTTCTCCTGCTCCTAACAGCCAGGAAGGTAAAGGCCATTTGATTGAGCATTTTAACTGCATGAAATCAGCACTGCATCTCCAGCCTGTTAAATGTGACAGTGTGAATATATGGTTTCTACTTCATACTAAAAATGCAGTCAGATAGTTATACATGGCATTGGCGACTGGTCAGCAACTGTTAGAAGACTGCATGTGTGACACTGGTTATGCATAAAAAATAATATGGTCAAAGCATCAGGAATGAAATAAAACCATTCCTTTTGTGACATTTTGGGCCAGAAAGATCAAATTAGTATGTGTATTATTCTCTGATAAATACCTAGCTTTGAAGAGGAATACCTATACATGTAAAAAATATTTGTTCATGGTGAATGTAAGGAGAGGAAAGCCAAAACTTGCTGTACAAAGACATGTACATGTTTGATGTGGTCAGTTGTGTTTGGACTTGAGCAATTCTTTGTTGTTCAGGAATATCAGTTGTTTTCAGCTTAATTCATTGGACAATTTTGTTTTAAGCATCCTCTGAGCACAAAAGGATGGGCTTTAAAAGAAGTGCAACCTATTAACCAAAGCTGAGCATTAAATTTTTGAAGTAGAAAGTTACTACTAAAAGAGAATGCTTTGACCAGTAAATGCATTATTTTGGCATCTGGTTATTCTGATGTGATTCACAGCATTGTCCACAAATACTGTTAATTCAAATTAAACTTCCACTTGAAATTGTTTGGCTTTATGTTTATTAAAATCCCATTAATTTTTAGATAACATTCTTGAAGACCGACCTGAGAATAAATTATCAAGTGATAAACTGCAGTTTGAATATAATGAAGAGACTGCCAAACGAATAAAGAAGGCTGATTGTGCTACTTACAGTAATAAAGGAAAGGTAGTTCTGCTTTTTCCCGCTTTTTCTTAGCCACACTTTGATATATAACCAGCTTCAAAAGGATCTGAGCAGTTTAGGTAACTGAGACGTCAGGTGAAAAATGCACTTTAATGAAGATAAATAGTAGAAAGCATGGAAACACATCAGAGCAAAGGGATTAACTAGAACATTATTGTATATACAGGCTGTTTGGCTGAAAATTTTATCTGTCATTGCTTTCAGTGAAAGACTTCATTGAAGCTAGATCCAGACGTTTATTTAGATATCTAATTTGCATTAACATCAGCGGAACAGAAGATTTCATCTGAAACTTCAGCATCTTTGCGTATCTAAATAACTTTAAACTACTGGGCTAAGATAGCAGCCACATTACCTTTTATTAAATCATCTGGCAACTGAACCAGTGCATTGCTGTTTAGTAACCTGTAGTTTTTCCTGAACATGGGTGGGTTTTGTCTAAATGTTTGTAGAACTGGCTCTGACTTTGAACACTACCACAGCAGCAGTAACAAGTATTGATGTATAAGCCTGCACACATTGATGTGTTTGGTGAAGACAGCAAACTATATAAAAAGAACGAGATAGAGGATTTGAGAGACATAGGTAAGATGTGCAAGAGCACTTTCACATTCAGTAATTTAATTATTATGTTCTTGGAATTGTCGCTTAGGTTTATGACATGGAGCTGGGTGAAGAATTCTATCTTCCACAAAATAAGAAGGAAAGCAGACAGATAGCCCCAGAGCTATCAGATCTTGTAATTTACTGTCAAGCTGTAAAGTTCCCTGGTAAGTACACAGCCCTGTTCTATTGCTTTAAGCGTTCTAATTCTTGGAGACATTATGTTTATGTTCTGAATTAGTGAGTACAAGCTATTTTCATATTGAACTAGTAGAGGAGTCTTTTTCTTAATGATTTGGTAGTCTACATAATAATAGCTCCTGGCTGAGAAGTAGTATCCATAAATTATGTGAAGATGTATTGTCTGTCATATTAAAATGTTTACAAGAGTGAAATTTGCCAGTCTTCACAACTTCATTGCCAAAGGACAGTGGACAGAAAGCTTTATCTTAAGAGCTCCAAGTTTCCATGTAAGGACCTACTGAATTAGGAAGGAAAATATTCTTAAAACTTTGCAGGAAGAGCTTGTCACATTTCTTTAAGTGACCTCACTTGAGTGTGTTTCACTTTTGCCTGCAGCTGCATCCTCTGTTCTTTCCTAAGTGGGTAGGAGGGGAGCTGCTTCGGAGGTAAAACAGCCCTTACGTGGGGTGGCTGAGGACAGCTGACAGCACACGTGCACACACCTTAGGGAAGGGGTTAAGGAAGTAGGAGGGTTGTCCTCTGTACAGTAGGAACAACAAGCTTTTCGGAGCAAAAGGAGAAGGACTAACTGAAGAGGAGGTTGCAGATAGGTACGTGTTCAGTACTGAAACATGAGGTTCAGTATGCTTTGGCTCATGCTGTGTACATAAATTCTTTTAAATTGAGAATTTATTGTTTGTTGATGTCTTTAATGTTTTGAATGAAAAATCAGCTTTTTAATGGAGTGGTTCTCTGTGGAAAAGTTAGCAATTCTGCCAAACCATGGTCTTATACAAATAGAACTGTAATCAGATTAGAGAAGCTAACCAAACATAAAATTGTGTCAAATAGGCAAGATAAACATGCTGAAAAATGGAGACACATTCTTCTATAATCTTCTATAACTTCAAGAATTGTAGGTGTCACTTGTAACAATAATAACTGCTAAAAAATTATATCTGATACTGTTTTTAAAGAAATCTGCAATAAGATATCTTTAAAATAAAATATTTTCTTTTAAAGAATGAGAGTCAAGATTAAACTTAGATAGTTTAAGTTGTTCCAGGCATTTTGACACACGAAGTTCTGATGTTCTAAGAAAGCTTTAAAATATTTCAGGTTTTTAATGTAATTTCAGTTAGAAAATAAATACCTGCTTTACTTATTGGATATCTTCCTCTTGCTTTAAAGGGGACATGAATAGAACAGTTAAGGAAGTAAGTTCCTTTCACGGATGAACACATGAAGCGGTAGAAATTAGCTTTCTGACAAAGTTTATCTCCTGTGAGACAAATACTGCCTTCTCTGCAAGATACATAGACTGCCATGGCCACCATGCTACTGGTAGGATTTTTCTCCCCAGGCAGGGTGCACTGCCAGACCCCAGTATTGTCCATTAATAATGAGAACAAGACTGGTAGATCCGTGACTCTGTAGATCCGTGGACTGGGTTCCTAACCAACTCAGAAAATGCAACAGTATTGGAGACTGGGAGGGCAGAACTCATGTCAGTGGCTGACCAGTGGTGTCAAAAATTTATTTCTCCTGTCTTAATGTATTTCTGTTCTGTGTTTACAGTTGCCTATGTCTCTGAATGTTAATCACTGATTTTTGACTATAAAAAAGGACAAGAACCATTATATTCACTTATCCTGGCCTACTGAGTAACAGACTTCTCTAAGTGCTCCCTGGTCAAAACAGGGTTTATCCTGTGGAGAAAATAACATTTCTTGTTTATAAAATCTCTGGTAACAAGGAACCCACCACAGCTCTTGTTGTTTCAGTGGTTTTTGACCCTTACAGTCCTTGCTTAACTTAAAATCCATTCTGTTGGATATCATCCTACCATTGTCTAAGAGGGTGAAGGTCTGTTCTTTTGGGTCACCCAAGATGAGTGCACTGAAGCATACTTGAGCCTGGTGCTGCTCTAACTCACTGACGCATGGCTCGCTGCCTTGGTGCTGTGGAACCCTATACAAGGCGTCGAGAAAAACAGGATCTGCACAATCGAGTGCAGAGAGCAGGGAGTCACCTGAGCTAACCAGCGTGAAATTCAGTCACCATCTCCATTGTGTCAGACTACCTGCCTCTACAGTGTCACTTTTCAGTAAATTAAAGTGAACACAAAAAAAAGGGCACCCTTCAAAAGTACCAAAAATTATTTTTCAAGGTCTGCAGACCGGCAGACTAAGTGGCTGTTGGCCTGAAGCACATGGTGAGAAGGTGACAGTTACAGTTTAACCTGTTAACATGGTTAGAATAAGGGCAGGAAATTTTGCCATTAAAAGCAGTAAAGCAACGTGGTTATATCTAACATGAGAGATAGGCACTGAATTCTGTAACTCAAAGGATATAGCACAGGGATTGTAAGGAAATACGAAACATTTACTCTGTTGTGGTGGTGGTACGTGCAGTGTGGTGGGAATTAAGCTGGTCCTGCTTTGACCGACCTGCAGGTTGGACCAGATGAATTCCAGGTCTGTGCCAACCTCCATGATTTTATGAATTTATGATTCTGTGAATAGATAATGCTGAGTTTTGGAGTAGAGTTTAAATTGGAGTGAAAAATGGAGCCTAGCACTGGGAGGAGCCCGGTCACATGCAAAGGATGGCCATGGGAAAGACTGGAAGAAAACTCCCATCGGCAACTCACCCTGTGGCCATCCCGTTTGGCTCAGTTAACCCTGGTGTTTGGCACTGCACTCTCTGGGGATTTATGAGGTTAGTCGGTTTCCTCAGCGACTGGCTCCACAACAGGATTTTGAAACCCGGATCTTGCTTACCAAATCCATTTGATCCCCTGAAAGCTGGTATGGAGTAGTGCTGGAGGCACAGAGGGCGGTAACACGTCATTCTTCTAGTCAGTTTGTGTTCCTTCATACCAGCTTCCACCCTCTTCTGTGGTTCAGTGTATGCTTGGGCACAAGGAGACAGTATGCCTCCAGCACTGAGAGAGTTGGGCTTGTTCAGCCTGGAGAAGCCTCCAGGACACCTCATTGCAGCCTTCCAGTACCTGAAGGGGCCGACAAGCACGCTGTGGGGGGACTTCTTACAGGGGCCTGTAGAGACAGGCAAAGGGGTAACGGGTTTAAATTGAAAGAGAGTAGATTTAGATGGGACATCATGAAGAAATTCTTCCTGGAGAGGGAAGAACTGGAACAGGTTCCATTGAAACTATCTGCATAGTTTTACTAAGTACCATGTAGATGTGACAGAGAGCTGAAAATTTACAGCTGTGGACAGACCTTAGTAGAAGAGAGGCCACTGTATGCTCTGTGATTTACATTTACATTTGTCATTGAAATACTAGTATTATATCCAGAACTGTCTTTAGGCAGGTGTGAGTTGATGTGAGCTCATGAGGGCCGTTTTATGAATCACAGTTAGGCAAATAAATGTCATCCTGGGTCTCTGGGAGCATCCCTCACCTCACTGCTGTGGGTGTCAAAATAATGATCATGCGTTTAGACTTACTCTAATTTTGGTCTGCTGTGTGCTCTGTCCAAGTCAACAGAAAGAAACTGACCTTAAGGGGGATTAAGTGTGTATACTTCACTGGGATTTAGATCATGATTTTAATGATTATTTGTCTAGAATGCCTATGTTTGAGTAACAGTTACACTAGAGGTTTCCAGCTCCACTTCTGGTACATACAGGCCATTAAATGCTTAATGGATTTTGCACACTGTATTTCCCATCATGGAAATACAGATTCTAAACAGAAGGTAACTCTGAAAACATCTTGATGTTAAATGGTTTCATCAACACCACTTGGGCTTTTTCCTTTACATTATATCTTTAAATCGTATTCTTGCATTTATTTCATAATGTGTGTTTCCCAATCTGGATGAATTCCATTATATTCACTAATGCACAGACCTATTGCTTCTGTAGAAAGATTTTTTTTTTAAATTATTGTAAGGATGAATACATTGGGACTGTTACTGCAGGATTTTTTGTATTAATTAGAACTATTTAGTAATTTGAGACAGAGCCACTACCTTTCTCAAGCCAAAAAGTAAAATGGAGAAAAGTTATATCAGAGAGGTAACTGTATATTGTATTGCTTCATGTAAGTTTTAATATACATTATATATGTGTACATACATAGTACATATACATAGTATGTACATATATAAAGGCATGTATGTATGTAAAGACGTTAAAATTATCTTACAGAGAAAAATACACTGCTTGCCCCGCGTACTATACAACAGGAGTATTCATGCCTTCAAAATAATGTAAAATAGGATGGAAAATGTCCTGCCCTCTTGGTCATGGTATTTGGCTCATTTATTTTACATTTATGGGAACAGGCTTGTCAACTCTCAACCCATCTGGCTCTAGCAGAGGAAAAGAAAGAAAAAGCAGGAAGTCCATTTTTGGCAACAACCCTGGCAGACTGAGCCCTGGGGAGTCAGCTACTCTTGCCAAAGCATCTGGAAAAGGTAAAGTTAGCATCTTCTTTCACCAGTCACGTGGAATGACTCTGTAATCCAACACATGTACCAGACCAAGTTGTTTAAGATCAAATACTTCACAGTGTGTAAGATGTAGAACTTGGGAATGTTTTTCTGTTAGCGCAGAAGCTATTACAGTAACATTATTATAACTGAAGTGTTGAGTGTGGAATGTTCAAATAGGATTACTTGGGCAGGAATATGAAGACCCTAATTGATAAATGATTCAAAACTAATACACATTCTAAGTGATGTATCTTAAAGTTTGTGTTTTAAAAAGTATGAATGAATATTTTCAAAGTACAGGAAGGCAGAACTGTTGGGCTGGATCCAGAAAAGGATTTTTAGTGTCTGAAGTAGGACTTAGTTGCCTAAAATGCGGCCAAGTCCAAACGTGTAATCATGCAAACTCCTGTGTTCCGCCTTGGAGGTATTTAGACTGCGGGCGATTCGGTTTGTGAACTTGAAAGTTGTACTTCTGCGCATGAACAGATGTAAAGGAATACAAAGGAAGCACAGAAAAGGTTCTGGAGCAGGGTTGAGACCCAGATCCCCTGCCTTTCAGGTGAATGCCATAAACAGCGTTGTGCCCTTTCTTGTACTCACTCTCTGCCTCAGGAATGCTGCATTTCTTTCAGGCCAAGGGCACAGCTGCAGCAGACAGATTAGATTCCCTTCTAGAAGCCAGTGTCCTAAAAATGGTCTAGAGCCTAATTCTAAAGGATACAAGTATTTTGCGGGCTTTGTCCCCTGATTTTTAGGGCACACTGTGGTCTGCCCGTGTGGAGACTTAGCAGATGGCTTTCAATTTTGCCTCCCTCCCTCATGTAAAATGTATAAATAAGCATAATGGAATTTTATTCCATTATTTTATTCGGGAAATTCCCAGTTATGAAAATGCTTGTTAAGCACATCTAATCACAGTATCATTTCAATACTTAAACTTTATGTTTCCTCTCATGGATTGTTCTTACTGTATAAGAAGGAATGTGACACTTCGTACTGAGCAGCATTAATTTTCCAGGATCACCTTTTTCTACTATAACCAAAATATGGGCACATACTTCATGAGAAAACATTGACTTCTTGAAGTGTCTGGATCTGCAGCTGTAATTTGGAAGGTACTCTTTATCTTCCAGGTCCTTTCGATGTGATGCGGCAGACCTGGGAAGATCCTTGCTCTCCTTACAACTCTCCAGCTTCGCTCAGTGCTATCATACGGACGCCCAAGTGCTATCACATCTCCTCCCTGAACGAGAACGCTGCCAAGCGTCTGTGCAGGCGGTACTCTCAGAAGCTGATCCAGCACACCACCTGTCAGCTCCTGAGGACCTACCCCGCTGCCACACGCATCGACTCCTCAAATCCCCATCCGCTGATCTTCTGGCTCCACGGCGTACAGCTTGTGGCTCTTAACTACCAAACAGATGGTATGGGTGCAGGAACACACACTGTAATACGTTTTAAATGTTAAGTAAGTCCTTAAACTGCCAATTGGCATTTGATGTTTGCTTTTACCTGCTCCCAAGAGAGTCTTGTGTGCCCCAGCACAGGCAGTTTCATACCATGACAATGTGGTCCTTGAGACCAGCGATCCCGGGGTTCAGGAGCTTTATGCCAGTGCAGCAGATCTCCTGAGAACGCAGAACTGCCTGGGCAGCAACACCTTCCGTTTTTTTCCCCAGTGAAAGTAGCTGTTATCCCTTTCTGATAATTTCAAGTATAAAGAAAGGTACCAAACTATTTTTTACTTAGAAGTGCTGCCTTGGATGCTGGTTTAATGTTGATCACAGCATTTTGGGGGCGTTTTCTATCCTATCTTGTGTTTCATCACCTTTTTGATGGTGGAGCCATTGGGCCATCTTCAAAGCTACACATTCAGTGCTTTTTCATTCTGCAGTTCAGGGCAAATCCCTAGAAACTTCTCCAAGAACAGGTGTAGGCAAGCCTGACAGCTGGATAAAGTCAGATAGAAAAGAATGAACTTACAGTTTTGTATAAGTAAGTATTGGAGGGATTGGAACATAAGTTACAGCTGTCTGAAAATGAAGAATGAATTGAGAGTACACAAATTAGGAAAAACAAAGATATTTAAACCATGTCTTTGTCTTCACTGTTACAGTTTTTCCATTGTACCACTGCTCTTTGTCAGTTTTGGCTGCCTTATTTTCACAGATCTTCCTCTGCAACTTAATGCAGCGATGTTTGAGGCTAATGGCGGCTGTGGATATGTTTTGAAGCCTCCTGTTCTGTGGGATAAAAATTGTTCCATGTACCAGCAGTTTTGTCCGTTAGAGAGAGATCTTGATAATAAAGAGCCAGCTATATATTCTTTAACAGTAAGTACACGGAAAGGGAATTTCCACAGCCGAACGGATAGAAGTAGACAGCGTTTAAGTACAGTCTTTAACCAGCATTACGGTCACGCTCCTGTGTGAAAAGATGGAACATTTAGTTGTTGTTTGCACTTCTGAAGGTCAGCGTAAGTGAAAGAAATGGGGTGGGGGAGGAGGAGCAAATCATTGTCCTTATTTTATTTCATTGGCTGGTTTGTATCCATAGTTACTTTCACTGTTTCCTTCACAATATTTGTCGAAACCCAATCCTGAAAGCATTTTCCCTGGGACTCCACAACTGTGTAAAATTATCCGCGTGCCTGGATGTTTCACACGTTTGCAAACACTTGAGAAGCTACACAAAAAGCCATTATGAGAAGCTGTACTGAGTCTTTAAAAAATATTTTTTTAAAGATTATATAAAAGATCTATCATTCGTGGATTTATGGCCAGAAAACTGTATTCTAAGAAGTCCCTTCCAGGAAATGTTTCAGAGGAGTGAGATCCATAAGAGTCAGAATCTCCCGGCAGCGGTAATTGCACACCTGATTGCTGTGCTGTGTGTGCCAAACCAAGCCGGGGGCCAGTGCCATCGCCCCAGAGTAACGGAGAGGAAAACCTGATCCTTTTTGACTCTGTTACTGGTACATTCTTTCTGGATTAACTTTCAGATGCCTTGAATGGTTACACTCTGATGTATACTGTGTTTTTTTCAGAGGAGAGATACCGTAGCAACAGCGTGGCGGGGGGGTTGAAGAAGCTCCGCTTGTGAGATTACTGCCCTGGCAATTAGAAAAGTAGGGAAGCGTTGTCATTAAATCATCACGTTAACAAACGGTGCTTAGGAGTGTGCTAAATGATACTTAGCTCAGAATCACGACAGTGAAAGAATGACTGTGCTAACTGGTTTCTCCGTGTTCTCCTTGGCTGCAGATTGTGTCTGGACAGAACGTCTGCCCCAGCAATAGCACAGGCAGTCCGTGCATTGAAATCGATGTGCTGGGGATGCCTCTGGATAGCTGCCATTTCCGGACAAAGCCCATTCATCGCAACACTCTCAACCCCATGTGGAATGAACAGTTCCTTTTCCGGGTTCACTTTGAAGATTTGGTCTTTCTTCGGTTCGCAGTTGTTGAAAATAACAGCTCAGCTGTAACAGCTCAGAGAATCATTCCCCTAAAAGCTCTCAAAAGAGGTACAGTATAGGTTGTTGTGACACACTATGCCAGGATGGTCCAGCAGATTCCTGGACTGAATCCTACAGGAGGGGTATTTTTAATCAGTTGGTTGCATTTTTCTAGAGGAGGTATTGAGCACGTGTCAGACTACCCTGGCAGTACGATGCTGATCTGTACGACTCCCGGGGAGCTGGAGGCTGCCCCAGTGACTTGTACAAAGTTAAATCTTGTGCTGTTGCAGAGACTGGGGCATCTCCAGGGAGACCTTACAGCAGCCTTCCAGTACCTGAAGGGGCCTGCAAGAAAGCTGGAGATGAGTTTGAACTGAAACTGAGGAGATTCGGATTCGATATAAGGCAGAAATTCTTCACAGAGCGGGTGGTGAAGCACTGGAACAGGTTTCCCAGAGAAGCTGTGGATGGCCCATCCCTGGAAGTGTCCAAGGCCAGGCTGGATGAGGCTTTGAGCAACCTGGTCTAGTGGAAGGTGTCCCTGCCCATGGCAGGGGGTTGGAACTAGATGGTCTTTAAGGGCCTAACCCAAACCGTTCTGTGATTCTGTGGTCCTGTGCAGTCACCCCGATCCCAAACTGTGGCTGTGAGGTTTTGTTCACCTTGAGACTTGCTGCTCCCTTAGGAAGTGTGGAGTGGTTTCACTCCCTGCCTTGTCCTTTGCCCAAGAAACTTGCACTTCTTGCTGCTGTGGTTGGAGGAGAGGTGAAAGAAGGTGAGAGATGAGGAAGCATCACTAATTCTGTGACACCTTGGGGATGGAGTTTCCGTATTGCCAGCAGCAGAACAGTAAAAATACTTCATGTTCGCTTTGTGCTACTGTATCAGTCTCAGCACATGAGGAGATCTGGCCAAGACTGGCAATTTCCCAGAGCACATGAGGAGATCTGGCCAAGATTGGCAATTTCCCAGTGAGAATTTGTCCTTGTTTCATTCATATTCCAATATTTAGCTCTTTCAAGTATGAAAATATTGAATATTACGGCAAAACAAAGGTAGGCAGCTATATGAGCCACTCAGCAGTTCAGAGCATTTGGATTACTCTGCTGTACAGACAAAGAGTGTTGATGCAGTGTTATTGCAGTGCTTTAAATCCTACAGGTGAGGCCAATTGTAGCTATAAATATAGCAAATTTGAGTTTTCCATTGAGGAGACTTGTGTCCTAGTGGCAAAGTACTGACAGAAGGGTTTTTTTCTCTTCAGGCTACAGACACGTCCAGCTCCATAACCTGCACAACGAAGCATTAGAAATTTCTAGTTTGTTCATAAACAGTCGGAGAATGGAAGAAAGTCCCTCCGGGAACACTCTGCCTGCATCTGTGGTAATTTAATTATTTTTTTTGTGAATGCCATGTATTTTTGTCATAATGACTACTTTGGTCTGAACACTTGTAGAACCAGACTGTTGAAAGATGTTAGCCCCTAAACCCACACATTTTGCAGAAGTACCTCTATGTCTTATTGTTTTGGGCTTTGGGAGCAGTAAGGTTCCCCCATCCGGCTGAAACTGGGAAGGTAAATCCTTTCCAAGTCCAGCTTCGGGTGTATTTGGGTGCAGCACAAGAACTCCTCTGCTGGAGGAGCGTGGCTGAGCGGTAAGGCTCGGAGCTGCCCCATGCGTTGCTGTAAGCATGACACGTAAGCAATTCATTTGGGACAAAAAAAAAGGAAGGTACAAATTACTGATGACTTTGGAATAATGAGAATAAAATCGAATGCTATTACAGGGAAAGATAGAAGTCTGTGTTTGCATAAATACATACCTCTTTATATATGTGTGTGTGCTTATGTGTACAAACGTGTACAGACACATACAGATGTGTGTATAACCTGCATGTAACAATACACAGGGATGGATGGGATTTTTTTTGTTAAATAGCCCTTAATGTTAGGTTACCTGGGTTACTTGTGCGTTAATAACTGGAAGCATGTGTAGTTATCTTGGTGAATTACTAGGGAAGAGCATAAATGGTTCTGAGGGTAAAACAAAGCTATAGATTTTCATCCAGTAATTTGTATGCTGAATACAAATAGCCTGAGCTCAGCTGGAATGCAGAGAGTTGAGCGATGGAGGTCTGCCCTTTGCTCAGTGACTGTTGATGTGTTCCCACTGGAAAACTTCCCTTTTTTCCCTCTCTCTTCAGCCTCAGGGTAGGGTGGGGTTGGGTCTTCTGGGGGGTTGGTTTGTTGGAGTTCTTTTAATGCCTTGATCTGCAGTGTAAGAGACACCAGTTAGCTGGATAGCTTTGCTCTGTCAGGGTCCTTACAACATGTGCGTAAAGTTTTCTTTTAAGCAACCTAAAAATGACGTGCCTGTGTAAAAACCTTCAGTAACGTGTTGATTGTTGTCTAAACAGTTGTTTAGCATGGGCGAAAGGAGAGACGCTGTGACTTACAAAGTGACAATTCATGGCATTCCAGGCCCGGAGCCTTTCACTGTTTTTAACGTAAGTGGGGGGACCACGGCTGCACAGCTCCTCCATCAGGTAAGCTGCCTGCTGAAGTGCAGGAATCCACACTGACCTCGTTCTGGCCATTCATCTCCCTGCACTGCTCATGTGCAGGGCCGCTGCAGTTCTTCATCACAGCAAGGATGAAGAAATGAAATTAGAAATGCATTACTGACGGGCACAGTCTGTCTTCAGTGAGATTTTCCCAATCTTGGCTTCCGGGAATGGGTTTCTAATCTCAGAACATACTCCCCGTTAGTAGTTTAATATCTGGGCATATGCAGATGAGGAAAGCAATCCTTGGGACCGACGGAGGCAGCGGGCTGTCCTTGCCCAACAATTCTGTGCAATTCTTTGAACTCCAGCAGCGCAGGGATACAGAGTAAAAGTTGGAGGGCTGAGTTCAAGAGTAGAAAAACCAGTTCGCTCAACAGGGATTGTTATTCTAGCAGTGGGAAAAGACTGTACTGTCCTGGGATTATGAATAAATTGTCTGGGCAGCCAAACAGGACAGAAATAAGCTTAATAGTACTGCCTTGTCTGGAAGAGCTGAACTGCTTGGCTGGGCTGGAGAGAACAGTACATTACCCTGGAGTAAAATATCTGAATAATAAATAGAACATCAGAAATCTAGCTTACACTATCAGAATAGTTACTGAATCCTAAAGCTTCTTTATCCGTTCTCATTTGTAACTACTAATTATGCAGTGTTTATATTTAGCATTCTAATTGCTGTGTGTTTATTGTGGTCTGTCCTAGCTCTTGGCTACCACAAAAGGCACCGAGTCATGTGCTGCAGACTATTTTCTGATGGAAGAGAAAAGTTTTATATCTAAAGAAAAGAGTGAATGCAGAAAACCACCATTCCAGAGAGTAATTGGTCCTGAAGAAGGGCTAGTGCAGCTTCTGAACAGTTGGTTCCCAGAAGAAGGCTATGTTGGAAGGATTATCTTTAAAACCCGAGAGGAAGTAAGTCTCCTTTAGATAAATCGTTGTTTACAAAGATAGCTAAAAATAGCTGTTAGGGACAGGAAACAAAAGGGTGCAGTATGTGTTTCACTACTTGGGGAGTAATGTCAGTGCTGTGTACGTCATTTAGAAACAAACAGCTCTTGGGTGAGCACAACTAGACTTTATCCACCTGTGTGACACTAACCTGACCTCACTCAGCTCTACGATCAGCTCTGTGGTGTTTAATCATTGTCGCTTACTCGGTTCAGTGCCACTAGCTTCCTCTTTTGACTGAGAGTTCTAATTCACCGTAAATCTAAATTTGGATGTAATAGGAAATTAAAGAAAGAAGGATAATAGTCAATACCAAAATCTGTCCTAGTGTAGGTGAAAGTTAAGCTGTAGTTTTGGCCTACGATGCTGGTACCTCAAAGCATGATCTGTAGTTCTGAGCCTTTTCACGAGAGAAGAGGACACTGTCCACCATCTCCCATCTCAATGCCACCATTACATGACAGAAGGTAATTTTGCAGACATCAGGAAATAAAGGATTTGGGTGATCATTTCTGCATCATGTGGTACCTTGCCTTGCCCACTGGAAACGGTGTTTCAGACAGTGATTTTAGAAACAGGTATTTTACATCAGCAATAGTGGCTCGTCAGCGCTCTCACACCGTGGACTGGCATTGAATGAGATGTGGGGCAGCAGGAGGGTCTCCAGTTTTCATGTGATTACAAACCTTTGGTGACCACCAGCTGTTATCTACCCCTCTGACATAAATGAATCTGGCTCTTCTTTTTTCTGTAGAATTTGAACGAGAGAAACATCCTTCAGGAAGCGAAGGAAGAAGCAGCCATCGGCTCTGAGGATGACAGCTTCTTTGTTCAGGTACACGATGTCTCCCCAGAGCAACCACGCACCGTCATCAAAGCTCCCCGCTTCAGCACAGCTCAGGATGTCATACAGCAGGTGAGCAGCACGCGGCCCACGGAGGCTGGTTTCCTACAGGATGGTGGGGTTTGGGCTCTGTTTCATAACTGTAATCGGAGGAATGCCTCCTTTTTTGTCTGCTTTTGTTCTGCTTTTAAACAGACTCTTTGCAAAGCCAAATACTCCTACAGCATTCTGAGCAACCCAAATCCAAGTGATTACGTGCTCTTGGAAGAGGTGACAAAAGAGCCAGCAAACAAAAAGTCCTCGACACCTAAACCATCGCAGAGGATTCTCTCTGATCAAGAGTGTGTCTTCCAGGCCCAAAGCAAGTGGAAAGGAGCAGGAAAATTTATCCTTAAACTCAAGGAACAGGTTCAGGTAAAAGGTCAAATGCAGGTTTTAAGGATGGCGCGTGATGGGCGTAATGGGACCCTGCTGCAGTGGGAGGGAGACGCGACTGGCCTGGGGCTGGGTGGGGAGAAGAGGCTACAGCAAAAAGCAGATTCCGCTTTTCTCCGCACCTCCCTGGCATTTTGCTTTGCAAAACTGCATCCGTTACATCCAGAACTCTATTCCCTCACCGCCCGCGCATCCCGTGACCACCTTCCTCTTTCGAAAGGGCAGCCCGTGTAGAAACACATCAGGTGGTTTCATATTAATGCCGTATTTCGCAGCTGATGAACAGCCCGTTAAACCAGCTCCGCGATCCGATTTATTTTTTGACAGGCAGCACGAGATGACAAAAGGAAAGGCATTTCCTTTACCAGCGAGCTCAAGAAGCTAACCAAGTCGAGTAAGCAGTATCGGGGTTTCACGTCCCCACCGCTACAGGTCTTGCCCGACAGTCCCCAGAGCAAGGACGAGAGGTCTGCCTGCAGCCTGACTTTCAGCGACGTCCTGGAGTGACAACCCCTGCCGCCCTCCGCGCGGTCTGTTCAGGTACGAGAGACCGATGCCAACGGAGCAGCCATTCGACACACGATGTGCAGAGCGCATACTTCAGAGTTGCAGCTGGTGAGACCGTAGTGAGGTGCGAGGGACTGACCCTAGACAGGGGTGTGCACGGGCACTGTAGGACCAGGAAGGTCCCCAGTTACTTCTTACGGCATTTGCCGCAGTGAATCAGAACGCTGTGAAGAGCGGAGTTTCCCCTGCTTTCCCTGCCCGTTTGAAAAACCAACCCAGAGCGCTGCATCCTGGTTGATTTTATAGTATGCATTTTAATCCACTACGTGTGCTTTACTAACTATGTCCTGTCCCTTTTGCTCTGGGCCAAAGTCAGTGCAAGTATGCAGTACAGCTTTCTCGTTACTTCCTATTAAATGCATACAGTAAAATCATCAGGACTGACGACCTCCTTTCTAGCTACACCAAGTCTACAGCGCTGATTTCTCCCCGTGGAAATCTTGCCAGAAACATCTAAACGTTCTGCCTGTCCTTTCTGTACCTCTCCACTTTCTTCTGTCTTGCTTGACGTGCAACAAGCAGCGGACTACGCAACGCAGGACTGTCCCGTTGATACGAACTCGGCACGCCTAACTTGTCCACCAGCCGGGTATTTGCATCACAGAATCATGGAATGGTTAGGGTTGGAAGGGACCTTAAAGACCATCCAGTTCCAACCCCCCTGCCATGGGCAGGAACACCTTCCACTAGACCAGGTTGCTCAAAGCCTCATCCAGCCTGGCCTTGAAGACATCCAGGGAGGGGGCATCCACAGCTTCTCTGGGCAACCTGTGCCAGTGCCTCCCCACCCTCTCCGTGAGGCATCGGAGTGCTACTACAGCACTGAGATACCACCGGAGAAGTTACAGCACATTGTACATGAAGAAGAAATCCTCTTCAGTGTTGATAACCCCACCTCACACATGGCCAATTTAAGGTTACACTTTTCTTTGCACATACACTAATTATTAAAGCATGATTCGGCGTGCACTGCCACATTACTGCGAAATCAAATTAACAGAATCCAAATAATTTCTTCACTTGCAAAACATTTCAAACCTGAGGGGACAAATTTGATACTTTAGTTCTAGGCTACTATAAAACCCCTAAGTCACTAAAACTATCTGAGTTCAAGAAAAGCAAAGTAAATTATGGAAAGATCCCAGCCATATTTCCTCCTTTTCTCCATTTGTTCTTTTCTTTTTTTGAAAACTGGAATCTACATCACTGAATCCTCCTGCAGTGCCTTTGAAGGAACCTGCTGCGGTTGGGTCAGCAATTGTCCCCTGGATGCTCAATCCAGACAGTGCTGCTGGATTAACATCCAGAATCTGGGAATCCTAAATGGGATGTCGTAGATTGGAAGGATGCCTGTCAGCTTTCGGAAGATTCTCCCCTCCCCTGATCTTTACATCTGCAGATTCTCAATAGGTGGATGACGTTTTCTTGGACTCTGTGTTGGAAATGAACATGTTGCCACCCTCCCCTTTTTGGACAGGAGATCACCTTAGCCAGTTGCCTCTAGGGAAGCTGAAGGCAGAACCAGAGCATTCTATTAATAATGTGTATTATATTAAAATAAGGCACTTTTACCTGAAGATTTCTGTTAAACACTGTGTTAAGTGATTGTAAAGAGATTTAAATATACTGTAACTTCCTTCGCGTATCTGCCTAACTTTGGTGAATATACACAAATTGCTCCTATTATTTATGGTTTATCTACCTTAACAAAATAATGTACAATAACTAAATACACCTAACCGGTAGTGATACTTTTACAAGGATCGACATTTTCTTCTTATAAATTCTAGTTTTCCAGGCTTGTGTTTAAAGAAAGAATATTTATTACCGTGTTCCGAAGTACCTGCCATTGTATAATATATTTATCATATACTGCTTTTTAGAAAATGCAGGGTTTTTACCTCTCTCTGGACTTAGAGGAAGATATGTTTGAACTTTTCTGGTTGTTCATCCTCAGCACAAGACATTTAATGCCCCCAGCAGACCAAACTCAATCTATGCATTGATAAATGTAACTGACATTTCAAGATTTAATTCAAAATCCGTTTTTCCATAGAGTCAGGAAATATCTCTTCACTTGCCTGTTAAACCCAGAGACTATGAAGAACTCCTACACTACAACTCTTGACACTTTCATTTACGTAAAAACACTGTTGTAAAATTACACGTTTACCAAACTCATCTTTTGATATTTAAGTCAGCCGTGGATGTGTCTTTTTGCCCCTCCACGGGCATTACTAATGTGCCAGGTTGGTTAGAACGATCCCTACCCGCTTGCAGGTGAAACAACGGCTGAAACCACTCACCCTTCTGCTGTCTATCTGTGGAGCGTCAACTGCTCTGCACACGCGGTGTCTCCCTCGAGCAGTCCCCAAACACAGCATTTCAGTCACCTGGCATGACTGTGTCAAGAAACCCACCGGTACGGGGCGTGAGTCACGCACGCGGCGATTCCGCACCCGCCTCGGCACAAAGCACTGCTGCGCCTGGGCGACGCTGCAGCGGTGCAGCTACATCCAGCTTCGCCTCACAGCGCAGGGCTGGCAGGGAAAGAAGTTTGAGGCAGTAGGCCCGCAGCAACCAACCCCCCTGCGTAATTAGAAAATGAAATACAAGAAAGCAGTCATTAACTGGCATACAGACAAGCAGACAGCACCTGCATTCTGTCACCAGAAGCTGTGAAGTCTTCCACTATACACTATGGAAAATTCCTATGAAGGAGCCATTACCAAACCAGAAAGTGCCCCCTTGAGGTTGCTTCCAGGGAAAATACCCACAAGCACACGAGGCCGTGCACTTCCTGCTGCTGATCACCAGTACCCATGGAGCAAACCAGCATTTTGCAATTCAGCACTCGTGATCCAGTTAAAACCCCAACCACCGCCTGGCTCGGCCTCTTGACGCGTGTCCTGCCGCTCCCACCGGCATGGCACAGCCGGCCCCGGGAAGAGCCGGGGTGCGCACTCCCCACTCCGCCCCATGGCACCCGCCAAACACAAGCTAATACTGAGTCAAGTGTTGGAAGCGACAGCACAGCCATAGGTTTATACGTGTAGTTGGCTTTGGAATTACTGGGAAATACATCCATCAACCTACTGCACACTTCAGCTAATGCCACTCCTTTTTCAAACGATGTCACTTTCATCCTCTGTTACCTTAACACAGTAGCAGTTTCTCATCACAAAGAAATTTCTCCTTTGGGGTTTTTATGGCATTTTAGCAACAAAACGTACTTCCCCGTATAGTTTGCCCTGTCCTATTTAGCTTTTTTATTATTATAGTCAGCAGCACTGGAAATAGAATTCTTAACATCACCTGTAGTTTCACAGTAGTCTGGGAGATGCGGCTGCTGACTCAGCAGATTCAACACGGGAAGGTCTTACACCTGTGTCACCATCAACGGATGGTTTTCCATCACACAGACCAAAGAGAACAAACAAGCAACACAAAAAAAAACCCCAACTTGGGAAATAAAGGGGCAGCCACGTCACATTGCATAAAGCGTGTCTAACACAAGCCTGAAGGCTAGCAACGATTTATAAACAGCACTTTTGTACTATTTCTGCTAAAACAATCATTTTCTGGCTGTGGGAATAGTTTACAAATAAAAGTACCTCATCTTCCTCATCACTCAAGGTCAAAAGCTGCTTTTGCTGCTGTTTATCACAGTGAAACCGAACAGCAAAATATTTGGCTTTCTCTTAAAAAACCCCACCTTTATGGGCATGCAGACATGATTCCAGTATTTTCAGTAATGTGCACATATCGCTAAATTTCAACTGTAGGTATTGGTGAGCAGCAGACTAAAACTTTTGTTGGTGGAAAGTGGTACATCTGGGGGAAGTTGGGATGGAATACAGTATCCTTCCATTTGGGTTGGTTCCAAATACCCCAATAATGACAGTACAGCACCACCTGAAGCATTAAACAGGGGGGTGGGTGTCAACTTCAGTGAAAGCCCCGTTCAGCAGATGTGATGTGCTGAGTTACTGCTCTAACAGGGAAGTTTATTCTGCCTAGGCACAGGCTTCGTTTCTGCAGGAACACCTGCCCACATCTTTCTGTGACAAAACTGAAGGAATCACTTTGTCCCTTTCTGTGCTTTTGGCTGGGTATGGACATCAGTTAGGAAAATACATGCATTTTTACATTCCAAACTATTTAGAGGAAGCAGCTTCCAGGATAAAGTTTGAAAGAAAGGAATGTAAATAACCCACACCTTCCAGAAACATGCAGTCTGAGTGGCAGCAGGCCTCATGCCGAACAGTCTGCAAGTGGAAACCTCGTGCTCCAGTGCCTGTTGACAAAAATACTGAAGTATTTTTTCCATACAGTTTTAAAACCACTGTTCCTTTCCCACCCATGCACCACTGCCCTTGCCTAGCACGTGCTGCTTGCAGCGGTGCGACTGCGCGGGACAGAAGCCCGGCAGCCACGGATCGTGGCCACGCTGCAGTCCCACTCATTCCTGTCTTACTGATCCCAAGTTCAGCAGTTAGGAGAATACAAAATACTGTGGCAGTTTTAATTTTTAAAACCTAGTCACATTATTTTTATTGCCACGAATATTACTATGTGGAGTATCTCAGCAGCCATCTGCTTCTAGAATTCACGTGCTTTCAAGAATTAGACACTAACACAGAAATACCTAAATATTTCAAGAACGTTCTCCTACCTTCTTAGCTTGTCTCTGAAGAACAACTTGCTGGTAGCTTTACATTTCTGCGCGAGGTTAGGTCTGCGGCTTCCGAAACGGAACTCTCCATTCTGCTCTAGCTCCGAATGCTTCAGCTAACATTGGGTTTCTAATCGCTGGCTGTTACTAATCCCCTACAAAACTCGGTTCACTTCTAGGGTAGCCCACTAAACGTAACAGCAGTGGCTTTTTCCTTGTGATAAGCGTTCTGTAGCTTCAGTAGTGTTAGACAATTGGCAGAGAT